GAACAGTGTCTCATTGTTGGTGTCAATGGGGAGGGATAGTGACTCCTCTTCTGTTTCACTGAGAGGAATAGTGCCTCATCATTGGTGTCAGTGAGAGTGTAGTGTCTCATCATTGTTGTCAATGGGAGGAATAGTGTCTCATCATTGTTGTCAATGGGAGGAATAGTGTCTCATCATTGTTGTCAATGGGAGGGATAGAGCCTCATCATCTCTTTCACTGGGAGGGATAGAGCCTCATCATTGATGTCAGTGGAAGGAATTTTGCCCAATTGTTGCTCTCAGTGGAAGAACTTCAACCTCATCATTGGGAGGATTCATGTTCCACTGTGGGTGTCAGTGGAAGGAATTGTGCATTAACATTGTTAATCTCAGTATGGGGAATAGCGCCCTATAGGCCAAGCAAAGGCAAGAAAAGAACCACAGTTTGGAGATCACAGTTATATAGCAAAGTCCACAAAAACTTACAATGTGAATATTTTCCTGACGCATCTTCCAGTTTTCTTTAAACATCATTATTGGTCAGCTGATAACACTAATCAGGCGACATGTTCCATGGGTCACTGTACCAACATACATGTGTGACCATTCATTGATAAAAATCTAATCTGATGTGAAGTTGCTGCCCTGCATTGACATGCACAGTCAGCCTGAGGGCAAATAGACTGAAAATAAGTCTCTGTTCCTCCTTGTAGGCAGTACAGAGGGGTGTCTTCAGTCTGATTTCCTCTTGGGCTCTGCCATTGCATGCCAGCACAGGGCAGCAACCTCATGTTGGGCTGTAGTCCCATCTGGACCACTGTTGCTCGGAAAGACAAAAAAAAAGTTTGATATTGTCTGAATTGTCCCCAGATTAATATTCCAGGGGTTTCATTAAATTGCCTTGTTGCCATCTTCCTTTGATCTTCTTTGGGATTAGAAACATAGAAGAGTGACAGCAGAAAAAGACCAAGTGGCCCATCGAGTCTGCCCATATTTTTTTGTAAGCTTTTTTTGTCCCAAGCATGTTTGGAGCTGTTGACTCGTTCAATACCTCTGTTGGAAGTTTATTCCAAGCATCAGCTACTCTTTCATTATTCTGAGATTAGTTTTGAACTTTCCTCCAGTTAAAGGTCATGTCCCCGTGTTCTTGATTTTGGTTTCCTGTTGAAACTCCTGCCCCCCTCCTGAAACTTCTTCACCCCTTGATGTATTTAAAAGTTTCAATCATGTCTCCCCTTTCCCTTCTTTCTTCCAAACTGTACATATTAAGTTCCTGAAGTCGTTCTTGATGAGTTTGAGAAGATTCTGCTCAGAGAATAATTTATAAAAAGTAAAATCGATAATTTGTATTCTGTTTTTATTTTTTTTTTGCTCAGTTCAACTTTATATATTGAGTGGGTTTCAGTATTTTGATTGAAATACAGCATTTTGTTATCACAATTCTTTGTTTTTTGTTATATTGCTGGGTTTGCGGTTCTACTAATCAGTTCCTCCCAAGGGGTGTGGTTAATATTTTAATTGTGGGTTAGGGTTTTGGGGCAAAGTCATGGTAAGTATCGGGGATCCTGGGACTGCTTAATGTGGTCAGGTTGGCTGCGCACAGAGGAGATGAAGGAACATGTGATCCCCCATCTCCTCAGTTAGGAATGAAGCCAGAAGTGGGGAGGATTTTGTCACTTCCAGTTTCAGTTTAGTATTTCCCTGCCCAGTACATCCAGAGAAGGAGCCTATCTAGCAGATTTCTGTTTGATTGGCAGCCTTAGAGAGCAGAGGAGGGATCAGAGGTCTCATAGAGATCCCTGATCTCTCACCAAGGAGTCTCTGCCCAAGCTATCACAAGGGGTGTTGTTCACCCCTTGTGATAGCAATAAAGTTGAATGAAACATAAATATTTTAAAAAGTGTAAAATGTAAATAAAAATGTTTGGCATTATATAAATGCCTGTAATAAATAAATTGAAAAGATAATCAAAATTGATCAAAAGCATTGTACTTACCCTTTAAAGTGACCATGGTATTTGTTGGTAAAAAGACTAGACAATGGAATTATTGGGCAAAATACATGATGGTGGAAAACCTCTCCAAATGGTGAAAACACCACAGACTGATCTGTGTTACTACCCTGAATATGGTTCACATTGGCTGCATTGCAGCACAGGATTGAGACGTCTTCATGGGGGGAGTTTGGTGGGTCTCTTATGGCCGGTAAGAACGCTTTACTTACACAAAGCCAGTAATCTAAGTTCACAAAAAGTCGGAATCCATTTTATCTGTGATAGGTTTATCTGAAAAAAGTGTGAGAGATAATACTTTTTTACCGTATTACAAAAAAATGTAATTGAACTTCTCACATTGTTCCTTCCTTTTTTTGCAGAATCTGGAAGGCATTTTGAACTTTAAGTACTCTGGAGGGCCTGGTCATGCTGAGGGGTATTACAGGAACCTGTCACTTGGACTGCATGTGGATGTAGAACCCTCTGTTTTCTTCACCCGTGTCAGTACACTCCCTGCTACAAGGTGAGATTCCACTCTCTTTTCCTTTTAAATCCCAACTCCATGAACTAGAAAAAAACTTCCCTTGCATTACCCCCCCCCCCCGCCCACACACACACTGTAAGTATTAAATGCTCGTTTTTGTCTAGGGGCAGAACAATAAGTGGTGTGACCAGTACCGCAAAGCCTCCTCTTTGGGGAGCTCCCGACTGGTCACACTCCTGCCTGATCTATGTTTAGTGAAGGGTTAATAGCCCTCTATTGCATGTGATGATGCTGAAGGACCACCCACAACTCAAAGCACTGGAGGGAGAAGAGGACAGAGCAGGGGCAAGGTAACCTATACAGTCTTTTCATTCCCCCTAGACCAGGGATCTCCAAACTTTTAAAACAAAGGGCCAGTCCTTCAGACTTTAGGGAGGCTAGACTGTGGCCATTTGGAGTAGAAAATGCCCTAGCATAAGTGGGAATAAAATGCCTGCTGGTCAGTGGGAGGAAAAAACTATTTATATAGCACTTGTGGGCAGTAGAAGCAATAGTGCCCCATAACTGCTATCAGTGGAAGGAATAGTACCCCATCATTGGTACCAGTGGGAGGAATAGTGCCCCATCATTGGTGTCAGTGGGAGAAATAGTGCCCCATAATTGGTGTCAGTGGGAGGAATAGTGCCCCATCATTTGTGTCAGTGGGAGGAATAGTGCCCCATCATTTGTGTCAGTGGGAGAAATAGTGTCCCATCATTGGTATCAGTGGGAGAAATAGTGCCCCATCATTGGTGTCAGTGGGAGGAATAGTGCCCCATCATTGGTGTCAGTGGGAGAAATTGTGTCCCTTCATTGGTTTCAGTGGGAGGAATAGTGTTCCATCATTGGTTTCAGTGGGAGGAATAGTGCCTCTTCACTGCTATTAGTGGGAGGAACAGTACCCCATCATTGGTGTCAGTGAGAGGATTAGTACCTTATCATTGGTCTTAGAGGGAGAAATTGTGCCCTATCATTGGCGTCAGAAGGAGGAATAGTGCCCCATCATTGGTATCAGTGGAAGGAATAGTGCCCTATCTCTGTTGTCATTGGGAGAAATAGTACTCCATCATTGGTACCATTGGAGGCAATCGTGCTCCATCACTGGTGTCATTGAGAGGAATAGTTGCCCCTTGTTTTCAGATGGAGGAATAGTGCCTCATCATTGGCATCAATGGGAGGTATTATGCCTTATAGTTGGTGTCAATGGAAGGAATGGTGCATCATTATTGGTGTCAGTGTGAGGAATAGTGCCCAAGGGCTGGATAATGGCAAACAGAGACAAATTGGATACCACTGTCCTAGATGCAACAAGCATTTAACCCGTGTATTTGTGAGGGGGGGGGGGGAATAGCATTGCAAAGGTTTGGTTCTAAGATTAAACCAGCAAAATTAAAAAAAAAAAAAACAATGCATGACCAAAGGTTACCTTCAAGGAGGACTTTGTATGTCAAAAGATCAGTTGATCCAGATATAAAGGTAGCTGAAGTTATGTGCAAAACTGGCAGTGAACCTGAATTAAAAAAGTGAAGAGTTTCTGTCTTATAGGGAACATATTCAAATGTTAATTTTGCCTAAGCAGTACCCTAAAAGTTTTTTTTTACTTTTTGTCTTGAATTCTTCCAGAAAAGTACATCCTGTGCCTAGTTACTCCTGTGGCTTGAAACAAGGAAAAGAGACAAAATATATGGACTTTATAGGCACATACTCAACACTAGTAATTGTTAAAAATCTTATTTGTTTATGGACTTACTTAAAACATATATAAATCACACAAAATGATAAAAACCTTTAGGATTGTCAAGAATGGTGAAGCAGGATAAGTTTCACCCACTAACAGCAGAGCTATTAGATGTTGAAGCGACGTAGGCAGTACTAGCCCAAAAAGACTTTCCATATATCTCCAACTGATGGGGTGCTCCTTATCCACCATATATTCAGTGCTCTACATGTTTCGCGTCCAGTCGTCGCTTCTTCAGGAGCTTATCACATTAAGATGACCACCGCTCGTAAAAACATACTTAGCATGGAGGACCCCACTGGGTGGCAACTGAACCAATCCAACATGTGAGCAGGAGGCACACACAGAGCTGTTGCCATTATTAAACAGTTGATGCCAGTAGACGTCTGTTGAGGCAAAAAAGGGGGGGGGAGGTCTTCATGGGCTAACCAGGGACTACCAGAGCTATCCTTCCACAACCTTCAATTTTCCAGAGAGGCCATATTTAGATAATTGAATTGAACCAAGAAAAAGTGTCTTTCTTGACCAAAAATTCTGTAATGCCACCCTCACAAGAGAAGGTATTTCAGCTTAACTCAACCTTGCATTAGTCTTCCCTTTTATGCAGTCCTACAGTTCATCCAATCCTAATGTAATGGCCAGGGCTCCCGGTGTGACCAGAGGTGTGTGGACTGACACAGGGAAATGCAGGCTCCAGGAGTGATGTATAAGAATGTAATTTATTAAAGGCTATACACAAATATAAACACACAATATACAAAAAACCAAACCTCCAGCTGATAACGGAATGCACACAGACAAGAGTAGTCAGGGCTGGTGAGGTGGAGTGGTCAGGCAGGCCGGGTCAGGAACCATTGAGCAGACAAGGTACAAAGGAGCAGGCAGACCGTAGTCAGATGGGCCGGGTCAGAGACAATCAGGCAGACAAGGTACCAGAGGAGCAGGCAGGAGAGTGGTCAGGAATAGCCGGGGTCGGTGCAGGCAGAGTTCTATCAAAGTCAGGAGTCAGGCAGAGGGATCAGGAAGGCAGACAACAGGATCAGGTTCAGGATACAGGGGCTCATGGGCACAATACACCAAGGCCCTGACTGCAGGTCTGGCCATTCCTTTAATACACCTCCTGCAATCAGCCTCAGGTGATGGCTGATTGCAGGAGTGAGCTTCTGGCTGCTGAGAGCACCCGCTGGTCAGCCCTGGTACTGCAGCACACATGGCAGGTGAGTCCCACCACCAGTGCTGAGTCCATTCCTGACAGTAATAGTATATTGTGGTAGCAAACTCTGTGTTCCAACTTGTAAACCCCCTCGACCTAGGGCTTTCCAGCTTCCTCCAGTGATGTCTCCTTTAAGGGGGAATCTGCATGTCAAAAAATCAGTTGACCCAGATATTAAGGTAGCTGAAGTTATGTGCAAAACTGGCAGTGAACCTGAATTCAAAAAGTGAAGGGTATCTGTCTTATAGGAAACATATTCAAATGTTCATTTTGCTTAAGAAGTACCCTAAAAGTTTTACTTTTTGTCTTGAATTCTTCCTGAAAAATAGGTGCCTAGGTGCTCCTGTGTCTTGAGCATCATATCTGTCTGTCTTCAGTATGAGGTCACCTTAGACATTGCTGCCTCTGTCTGCTAGTCTTATGAGTTAGATTTGGTATTCTCTGGAAATGTGGCCCCAATAGCAGGCACAGATAATGGGAAAAAAAACGAAAACGGTTCTAACCATTCCCCTCCCTACCAAATAAGTATTTTTATTCCAGTAAGGGAATCAAGCAGCAGTAAAACCATGACAGAGGTTCCAATCCCTCCTCTTCGTCGAGTAGAGGGGAGGGACATTAGCGAACATCTGTTTGTTGATCTCGGCTAGCTAGTAACAACCTGATAGCTATGAGCATTTCGGATGTTACTTTCCCCAGCCGCTGTGGCTGGAGAAGAAGCTAACGGAACATGATGAGTGCTCCGTTAGTTTCAGTGGAGTGCAGAGGAGACGTGAGGTGTCCTTTAACATCTCATTAAAAAGAACCTGTCACTGAAGTATGTTATCACATAGGATACTGTTGGTTCCCTATGTGATGGCAATAAAGTTGAGCGAATTAAAAAAAACCCAAAATTTAAATGTACACCCAAGCACTTAGCTCCGCCCCCCCTAAATAATTTTTACCTCCCGTATACACTCAAAAAATATGTAAATACACAGATCTGGGCCCCTATGTATTAAACATGTCAATATTACTGCTGAATGAGCAGAGCAATAATTCTACGGCAATTATTCATGATTAACTTTACACTGATGACCTGCAAGGGCTTTAAAAAAAAAAAAAAAGGGATGACAAAGTTTGTTGCTATTTTACAGGCAGGCATGCAAAATTTTAAAATGTATTTTTACTTTTGCTGCCAGAAAGGGATAATACCTACTTTATATTTGTTACATGTTCCCAATCACATAGCCTAACTTGGACCCTCCAGCAAGGAAAAATCCTAGGTACTTCTCTTTGTTTATGAGGGGGCTGGGCAGCTGTGTTTGCCATAACTAAACATGTCTGCACTGTGTAGATGAATCTTCATTATCAGTTGTAACTTGATTTGACTACTGTCTGTCCTAACATATAGTTAAAGGTGTAGAAGCTATGCTTCTTGCTTTGTATATTGATGAGGACAGACTTGGGACAGGCTCACAAAGTCCTTGCAGTCAGCTATGACACTGTTAGGGATCCGGGTATGACCAGAAATGTGTGGACTGACACAGGGAAACGCAGACTTCAGGTATAGTGTGAATAAGACAATTTATTAAGACTAAACAAAACATAGACGCAGTGCAAGACTAAACAACAACACAGTGCAACCAAACCAACCCAAACCTCCAACAGATAACAATAGAAACAATACTAAGCGTAGTCGGGCAGGCCGGGTCGGTAGCAAACGGGCAGGCAGGGCACAAGGAGCAAGCGGAAGAGTAGTCAGGAAAAGCCGAGGTCAGGACAGGCGGAGTTCATGCAGAGTCAGGGATCGAAGCAGAATCTGGATCAGGCAGAAAGCAGACAGGATGCAGGTACAGGGGCCCATGGGAAACATACACCAAGGCCCTGATCACAGGCCTGGCCATCCCTTAAATACACCTGTTGTAATCAGCTTCAGGTGATGGCTCATTGCAGGAGTGAGCCTCTGGTTGCTGAGAGCACCCGCTGGCCAGCCCTGGTACTGCAGCCCACAAGGCAGGTGAGTCCCACCACCACTGGCAAGTCCATTCCTGACAGACACCTTCTCCTGAGAAACATCTAAAAGGTCATTTTTACAGGCACGCACAATTTTAAAATGTATTTTTACTTTTGCTGCCAAAAAGGGATAGCACCTACTTTATATTTGTTACATGTTCCCAATCACATAGCCTAACTTGGACCCTCCAGCAAGGAAAAATCCTAGGTACTTCTCTTTGTTTATGAGGGGGCTGGGCAGCTGTGTTTGCCATAACTAAACCTGTCTGCACTGTGTAGATGAATCTTCATTATCAGTTGTAACTTGATTTGACTACTGTCTGTCCTAACATATAGTTAAAGGTGTAGAGGCTACGCTTTTTGCTTTGTATATTGATGAGGACAGACTTGGGACAGGCTCACAAAGACCTTGCAGTCAGCTATGACACCTTCTCCTGAGAAACATCTAAAAGGTAAAAAAAAAAAAAAAAAAAATATGCTTGCTATGGCAAGGAGGTAGATTTCAGGCTACTGACTTAGGCACAATTAATCTTTCTAGATGTTCCCTATAAGTTAGCAGATCTTTACTTTTTAATTACAGGTCCACTTTAAACTTTTATCCAAAATGATTGGTCAGATATGGAGTTTGGGTGTCAGGGATCCAGGTATGACCAGAAATGTGTGGACTGACACAGGGAAGTAACAGGCTTCAGGAATGATATAATAATATAATTTATTATTAGCTACCCAAATATACAACGCTCAGTAAATAATCCAACCTTCCACTAATATTGGTATGTGCAGGAACACAGGCGCAGTCAGGGCTGGAGAGGTGGAAGGGTCAGGCCGGCCATATGGTTCTGTTAACAACCGTCTGGTGATACCCCTAGCAGTCCTCAGGACAGGTTTCCCCGGTGCCCGGAGTCTAAGTCCCAGTCTGCTTATTTACCAGGGCCCCTGATGGTGGGGATGGACTTGGAGCAGACAGGAACCAGGTCGCGGCCCCTGAGTACACCTGCTCGTGGTAGAGGGATCCGCCAGAGGTATATGCAGATAGGAAGCCTGATGTGAAGAGGCAGAAGGTGTGAGCAGGGATGGTTGGATCCGTGCAGGATGGATGGATCGTCTGGGTAGCGTAAGGCGTAGTCAGGCAGGCCAGGTCAGCAACGTGCGCGGCAGCGAGGTACCGAAGGAGCAGGCAGAGAATAGTCAGGGTCACAAGCCGGGTTCAGGAACTCACGGGCAGCGCGGTACAGAGGGATCAGGCAGAAGGATGGTCAGGCAAGCCAGGGGTTAAACAGGAGACGGTCAGCAGGGTCAGGAACAATGCAGAGTCAGCAACAAATCAGATAGGCAGAGAAACAGGAACACAGGATACAAGGTACAGGGGCTCATGGGAAACATACACCAAGGCACTGATCACAGGCCTGGTCATTCCTTAAATACACCTCCTGCAATCAGCCCCAGGTGTTGGCTGACTGCAGGAGTGAGCTTCTGGCTGCTGAGAGCACCCGCTGGTCAGCCCTGGTACTGCAGCCCACACGGCAGGTGAGTCCCACCACCAGTGCTGAGTCCATTCCTGACATTGGGTTTTTAATTATGTGTATGATCATCCTAAAAAAGGGGTTATCTCACCACTAGCTTCTCCATGAGATAAAGGCGGCCAGCAGGTTACTTATCCGAGTGATGTCCATCCACTGACAAAGTTTCGCCTTCTCCTGATCTTCTCAAACTGTACATATATGATAACGTGGCTTCTCTTCGCAAATGTCACCGATAGATCTGTGTCCCTTTGCAGTTATTATGCTGATGCTGGCACCGCTCTTTAGGTCTTCACAAGCATTTGCTTTTGATCCAACGTCCTATTACAGCTTATAGGCAGCTGCAATGGATTAAGCTGCGTGCCGTGATTTCTCCACGATGTGATGCTATGTTTTGTTGAACACATTGTTTATGGGATAATTGAGTTTTCTGCTGTCATAATCCCACACCCAGAAGGCTAATCCCACATGGCTGTATTGTTAAATTACAATTCACTTGACCCATGACCTTCAATTATAGGAACTGTTGCCTTTTGTAGCAGCAATCTTATGTGTAGCTTAGGCGAGTAGTTCTCGATAAATGGAAATGTCTTAGTGATGTTACTAGTTCCTAGAGAATTGATTGTCGCATTACCGAATGAATTTACATGAAAGGTACCGTATTGTGATTATCTGCCAATAGGCAAAAGATAGACGTACACCATATGACCAAAGATATCTGGACACCTGATCCTTCACTAAATGGCCAAAAGTATGTGCAGCTCCTCCTCCAAATTGTTGAGTTCAGGTGATTCCAGCAAAGGGTATTGTTACTACAATAGCAGACATTTTAGACACTTAAGCACTTCCTACCCTGTGCCAACAGTTTGGTGAAGGCCCTTTTCTGTTCCAGCATAGTAGTGCTTCTGTATACAAAGCCCTGACGACATGGTTGGATGAGTTTGGTGTGGAGGAGCTCAAGTGGCCTTGACATTGCCCTGACCTCACCCCAGCTGAACACCTTTGGGATGAACTGGAATACCGATTGTGAGCCATGTCTTCTTGTTTAACTTCAGTTCCTGATCTTGCAAATGCTTTTTTGGCTGAATGGACAAAAGCTGCCACAAATACATGTCAAACAAAATTTTGTGGAAAGTCTTCCCAGAACAGTGGAGGCTGTGATAGCTGCAAGGAAGGGACCAACTCCATATTAATGGCCATGATTTTGAAATGTGATGTCCAACAAGCTCATATAGTTGTGATGGTCAGATACACACAAACCTTTGGCCATATAGTATACATCTCTACTTGCCATAGAGCACTACAACCATATGCAGCACAGATACCTTTTAAGCATTTACAAGACCATGGAGATTTCCAAAATGTTGAGCAGGGAGGACTGAATTTATTTTCATTGAATTCCTGAGTTTGACTCTTTTTCCTGTTCTTTAGCACAAGGCAGTGCCATCTTCTTCTTGATGTGTTCAACTCTACCGAACATGAGCTGGCCATCAGCGCAAAGGATAACGAGGAACTGATCTTGCATGCTGGGGAATGTCAGCGGTAAGTCCTGGTGGTTTTCTCCAATATTTATATATGGTAGTGAGGTCACATCATCAATCTGGAGATGCTGATCTTCTAAGAATCTGCTTGGAAGAAAGGGGACTACACTGTAGCTATATTTTTTTTTCAAATACTGGTTAAACTTTTTGATAGTTTGATTGAGTTTTATTTCAAATTGGAGATTTTTTGCTAAATGTAAACCAATTTAGGCTATATGGAGTAACACTGCTTGCCTTTGATTTTGATGGTGTGTGTTTTGTTGCCAAGGGTTAGTCCAGTTTCACTGAGCATTCATGATTACGGACTCTTCTTGGTGTCTTGTCTTTATAAAATAAGGTCAATAATAATACTATGCCCTGAATTGAGTTACATGGACACACTTTGTAAAATGATTGAATTGAAACTCAGGAATTTCTGTGATTAACGGGCTGTAGTATAGCCTGATTGTTGTACCTTTGTGTCAAGGGAAGACTGGGAACCTTTGGCCTGGGTGGGGGTGCAAACACAACCAGCCAAAACTTTAATGGCAGAAACACAACTCAGTGCAAGTGTGCTGTGGTACCTAATTGATTGGGGCAGTTGTAAAAGGTGGGTATTCCTAAGTGACCATATATACTTGTGCATTGCCTTTAACGCATACTTTATCTTGCATCAACTTGTGTTTCGTTATGGCAGTCCATTCATTTAACTAATAGCCGCTAGGCGGCCGGGAAAAGGCTGTAGATTTCCGGGAGGACGCCATATGGCGTCCTCCCACACATGCAGTTTTCGCGCTTGCAGAACCGCGCAGTGGGGAAATCTGTCACCGGCCATGTACCTCGGACACGGCCGATGACAGATCTGAGTACCGGCCCCTGTTGCCGGCACCATGTGACCTGCTGTGACCAATGACAGCAGGTCACATGAAAGTTGTATACAATGGATGGCTTCATTCATGCCATCCATTGTATACTAGTGTCTAGCTGTGAATGGTCACAGCGATCACATGCACATGTCATGTGATTAGCTGTGGCCAAATCACAGCTAAGCACAAAAAAAAAAAAAAACTTGAATGAATCGATGTCATTCAGGTAAATGCTTGTTTATAGCAAAGTAATTCTTTGCAATAAGCAAATTGTGTAAAAAAAAAAAAAAAAATATATATACTGATCACTTCCCCAAAGTAGTACAATGTTACTATGGTAACATTGTGCTACTTTGGACATAGTGAAATATGAAAAAAAAATCTTAAAAAAAAATGTAATAAAAAAAATATATTTTTTTTTTTCATACTGTCACCAGTCAGTGTCCTGATCACCGCCATGCCAGTTATATGATGACACTGTACTGCACTGGTGACAGTATGTAAAAAAAAATAGTGAAAATAATTTTTTGAATTTTTGAATTTTTCAAAAAATTATGACAAAAAAAAATACAACTTCAAAAAACTCGCCATTCCTCTTATGAAGTACGTCGGACTGTCTACTTTGCAAAAAGTGGTCATTTGGGGGATATCTGTACTGTTCTGACATTTTGGGGATATCTGTACTTTTCTGACATTTTTGGACCTCAAGAAATTAGATTGGCTGTCAGTACTTCAGGATTGATCAATATTCAGATCTATACCATAGTTTGTGAACTCTATAACTTCCTACAAACTACAAAATACATCCTAATTTGGGTTATTTTCACCAAAGACATGTAGTAGAATACATCTCGGCCTAAATTTATGAAGAACAATTATTTATTTGCAAACTTTTATAACAGAAACAAAGAAAAACGTGTGTTTTTTTCAACATTTTCAATCATTTTTTGTTAATTTAGCAAAAAATAAAAACCCCAGCGGTGATTAAATACCACCAAAAGAAAGCTCTAGTTGTGTGAAGAAAATGATAAAGTTTTAGTTTGGGTACAATGTTGTATGACCGCGCAATTGTCATTCAAAGTGTGAGAGCGCTGAAACCTGAAAAATGGGCTGGGCAGGAAGGGGTAAAAATGCCCTGTATTGAAATGGTTAAATGGAATGCATAATGCACCAAAACGAAAACAGAAAAGGGTGCAACACAGCGCTTTACAACACAGCAATGCTGCAACAAAGGTGCTTTGGAGTGAACGGCATCACAGCATACCAACGTGTGCAACGCACTTTACCACATTCCAACAGTATGAATATGACCCGAAGGATATCTTCCAACATCGGCTTCCTTTGTCAGCTTTGGCATTCAGTCATGTTACATCTCAGAGCAGCAAAGAAAGTTCCCTGTCAGTCACTGTAATTGCAGGTCTGAACAGGGAACAGGTATCTGTATTGTATGTCTTCACTCAGGGCTACCAGCCCTTGATACCTGTTACTTTTTAGCACTGGTCTACAAGCAGATGCCCACAGCTCAGTCCTTCCCACTCTGTACTCTTCTGTGTAGAGATTTTCATGTGACTTGAACAATGTTCTCCATATGCTTTGTTCCAAAGCCATTACAATAACTGCGTGAAAGCAAGAATGGCTTGTGTCTGCCATAACTAAAATGTGACAGGTCCTTTTATTGTTACCCTGCCATTTTAAACTTTTAGGTATGAAAACCCTGGCAGACACCTTTAGACTCTTCTCTTAATTTCATTTTTTCATTTTGGAGACAGCCCTCCCTGAATCTGGTTTCACTTTGATATTAAGAATTTGGCTTATCTGACCTTAAGGTCAGCCCTCTGTAGGTAGGGGCACTGTGGAGAAATTCATCATCAAAGCACTACAAAACTAACTTGAAAGGTTGTTGCTGGAAGGGGTGAGCTAAGTTGCAGAGTCTTTGTTGGTGGGGGCACAGAGACAGTCGAGCTTCTGCTGAATCACTGCTGGAGGGGTAGAGCGAGGGGGTGGGGGTAAGTTGGAGGGGTGTGTAGAGCATGCTGTAAACTATATACACTCACCAGCCACTTTATTAGGTACACTTTGCTAGTGCCATGAAAATATCCCCCACACCATGACACCACCACCACCGGCCTGAACCATTGACACAAGGCAGGATGGATCCATGCTTTTATGTTGTTTTCACCAAATTCTGACCCTACCATCTGAATGCCGCAGCTGCACTAGTCTTCCCATTCTCCTCTGACCTCTGACATCAATAAAGCATTTTCATCCACACAACTGCCACTCACTGGATATTTTCTCTTTTTCGGACCATTCTTTGTATACCCTAGAGATGGTTGTGCATGAAAA